TCTACTAGCTGTCACTATTATTGGATTCACATGCACAAATACTCTTCTTTATTTCACTTTTGCTAATTAATCTCTTTTTTCTGAAAAAAAAAAAGCTTCACTCCAACTCAGACATCACACCAATATGCATTCATGTAAATAAATCCAACCCTTATCCCAAAAAAAAATGAAGGATGTGCAACAGCACAATTGCAATTCAATGATACACAAGAAAAAAATCTAGTCAAATACGTACATGTGCAATACCAAAACTATGCAATCGTTAATGGATTAACTCTATTTTTATGAGTGGAATTGGTGCGTGATTGTGGCTAATTTTTCGGGAAGTGGAAATTTAAAAACGGTACCCATAATAGGTAGCTTTTTCCTGTTGTGACATTTCTACCCTTTAAGGACTTCACGTGTGCTGAAATTAGTTTCCATGATGCGTATTTATGTGACGCAGTGCACGATCGAACTGTGCAACTTCAACTTATATCACCGTTCATTCCACAAGATTAAGAGTCCGGATTTGTTCTCACTTCTCACGATAAGGAGTGTTCTCATTAGAACCACTCCCTATATATATATATATATAGGTTTTGGTTCAAATAAGAACACGATCTTATGAGAGAAATGAGAACGAATCTGGACCGTTAGATTTGCTTCAAGTGAAATTCAGTGTGCATTAGATGAAACTGTAATGTGCATTAGGTGAAATTGAAATGTGCATCACAAAAGGTACGATAGAGTGGCATTACGTGCAGTTGAATTGTGCATTACATGAAATTGAAATGTGCATTAGGGGAAGCTGAAATGTGCAGCATAAAAAGTACGATGTGATGTTATTTTTGTACTTTTTATTCGCACATATCAGTTTCATCTAATGCACACTTGAGTTTAAATTTTATTTTGCACATTTCAATATCATTTGATGCACATTTCAGTTTCACCAAATGCACAATTTGGTTCCACATAATACAATCCAACGGTCCAAATTCGTTCTCATTTTTCTCTTAAGATCTGTTCTTACCGGAACCGCTCCCTATATATATATATATATATATATATATATATATATATATATATATATATATATGTATGTATGTATGTATGTATAATACGATATCGTTTACAAAAATTCGGACTAAAAATATGGGTATTAGTTTGAACATTTAAATTCTTTACTTCACAAAATAACATATACGAATAGCATAAATAAATAGAAGTATACATATATTTAAGTAGCAAATCTCATAACTACATAAAAGAATACCATAGTATTGTATGTCAATGACAATGATAAAAATAGCAATAAAGCCTCTTAATTAGCTACACCCTCATATGAGTAGGCGCGTAACTAAATGGTAAAATTAGATTGGGCCTATTTAGGTCTAATTTACGGAGTAATTTCTTATTTGGATCTTCATAAAGTATCCCATTATGTAGACAAATTAATATCATTTTACATAAACTAAATACATATTTAATCACATGTGTAATTTATCTATTCACAATTTCACATTGGAGCAAATAATAAAATTATTGGGAGCATATAATAAAATTTATTGGGGGCAAATTCATACTATTTTGATATAAATTACATAAATTCATATACATTTATTCTACTTAAAGAAAAGTTGTTGGGGGTATGTGCCCCCACTCCTAATAGAGTATATCCGCTCTTGGTTAACACACAACAAATCCTTCTATAAATTGCTGGCAGGTGCTTTGCAACAAAATATGCAATCATACACAATCTGCACGTATTTCTTCAGCTAAAAACACCTTCAGTATTCCGGAAAATTTCTTTAGTGTTCATACTGTGTTTCCGTTCGCTGGAACAATTTGTTGAGTGCTCAAACAATTGTTCGTAGTCGTCATATCCTGGGAAACGATCGTTGCGACGTTCCTAGCACCTTGGGAGGCAACAAATACATTTTAAGGACATCGTGCATAGCACGAGCTCTGACTATTTTCTGCTCCATCTTATTTTCTTCTTTTCTTTAGTCATTTAATTAATTTTAATTAATTAATTTTTATTTATTTTCCACCCAACAATCTTAAAACGTATTCGCTAAGCTTGTATCATATGAATACAATCTTAAAACGTAGTTTGTCACTTCTGTGAACGAACTTATTTTTTTGTGCTTTCGGAAAACGTAAGAAACACAATGGCTTTGCAAGAAAACGAAAATTAAATAATGTTGGGAATTTTTTTTTTATATAAGTTGTATGTTGTTGGATTTTTTTAAATAAAATACATTCTATTTGTATAACATGACATTTTATAGCAGAAACTACTACAATGTTGCTCCGTCCCATATTTATTATCTTCTCAAGTACCATTGGCATATAGATCAAGATAATAAGTATTGTGGAAAAATTTGTTGATTCAGTCTCGTAACTTATAGCTAAACTCGATATCGGTCCTGTAATTTTAGCACTTGCATATTACATCCCGTAACTAATAAGTTGGTGCAATTTTGGTCCTTCTCTGCCGGAACTTATCAATTTCGCCGGAAAAAGACACATCACCTGCCAAATGGTATATTATTTGGCACATCACCAATTATACATGGCTTTTACAATTATGAAGCTAACAAGAAAGAATTTGCTCAAATGTTCATCAAGTTTTCACGGTTTAGAATGTGAAAACTATGAAGGAGGTGGTTATAAAATTTGGTTTTACTAAGGAAAACCAAATATGGTTTAACCTTCACACTTTTTAAATCTGTAGACTAACATTTGAGGTTACAAATAAATGAACATTGCTCCAGGAATTGCAGCTAAAAGCACTCAAAAACTAGCTTTTTTCATTCAGAGAAGCTTTATTATTATTTCTTCTTCGTTGCAGCATGAGCATTTAGAATGAAGTTTCAAGCTTTCTGGATTCAGTTTTAAGAATAAAGCATTTTATCTCCAACTCTTCTTAAAACTTCAGACCACATATATCTCTCACTCATAAACATAAACTTGAAAGTACATAGCATTGTCAATTCAAAATAAAAGATGATTGAAATTTTTTAAAAGTTTAGGGAAAGCTTACAACTAACATTAATAATGTCTTACTGCACCTTCATAATGTGGTACTAATTAACAACTTAAGCTACCTAGCACTCTTGAAATGTTACATCATCTTCACTTCTCAAATCTTTAGCATGAGAAAGACCGGGAGCAAAAACACTAGCTCCACAACAACTATGAAGAGCCTTTTATTTTTAGCCTTCAACTTTACAAATTACAACCTCTTCCTCTTTAGAAATTGAGTCTTTTAAGCAATCCCGGAATTATCATTGTTAAACGATGGTACATAGGTGGGTCCGCCCATTCAAAAAATCTACAACCTTCTGTCTATATCAAAATACATGATCAAATGCCCCCAACAAATAGAAGATGGTAATTTTATTAGTAGAACCTAGCTAAAAATTAAATACATTTTAATTTTCAAACATATTTATTATACCAATGTTATTCTTAAATTTCTAGTTGTTTAGTAAAAATGGAAGCAAACAAACTAAATTTAAAAGTTGAACTTCTTACTCTGCTTCTAGCGCACACATGAAACCTTCTTCCAGGATTGTTATCAGTCCAAGAAGTTAGAAGAGAAACCTTTTTACCACAATCACACTCCATAAACTCATGTCTGATCGAGAGCCGTTACTAGCAGATTTGCAGAATAACTCACTCTCTCGACTTAGTTCAGGAGAAATCTCCAGGTGGGGTTATGTGTTCTTTCCCCCTTTTGCAGATCCGATAATAGGCTTGGTATGGTTGTGCGCACACTCAGCGAAGAGCTTTCATACTCTGATTTTTAAACTCCAGCTAAGAGCCAACGTTGAGTCAGCAAATGAGTTCCAAATAATATGCCATCTGGCAGGTGATGTGTCTTTTTCCGGCGAAATTGGTAAATTCCGGCAAAGAAGGACCAAAATTGCACCAACTTGTTAGTTACGGGATGTAATCTGCAAGTTACTAAAGTTCAGGACCGATATCGGGTATAGCTATAAGTTACGGGACTGAATCAACAAATTTTTCAAGTATTGTGTGATAGAAAGTTGTGCAGATGAGAGAGAAATATGTAAGAAATGTTGTGAACCATAATTTTTTTGCCAAAAGAAAAAAGAATAGATAATTTTAAAACGGACAAAAAAGTGAAGTATGAATATAATTCTGGGACACGGAGTAAAATAAAACCGTCTTACAAAAAGTATTTTCACATTTTCAAATTGCATATATTTTGCACAAAATATTATGGTTTTTTTCAAAAATATTACCAAAATAAAACTTATTTACAAAAATATGACTAATAATTACTACAAGTTTATAATGTGGTGTCATGGTAACTTAAGTTCAAAAATTGTACATAAACTACCATGATTCCATTACTACTATAATCACTAGTCGAATTTTAAACACTTTTTATTTTAATCATAAATATGTAATTATTTCAAATATTATTTGAAGGTTCCAAACATATAAAATTATATATCTACAAGGAAAATGCAAAAAATATGAAATTACCTTTTAAGGAAAGTAGTTTCTAATTGACAAATAGAATATTAAATATAATTTTGGCACTTTACATTAATTAATACGAATAAAAAGGAATATGTAACCAAGCATTCCAGCCCAGCTGGTTGCGAGATTACCGTGCCTAGGGGGAGGTTTCGAGTTCAAATCTCGCTAGGCACATAAGGGTGTGAAATTCAATGGAGTAAGTTTCAACCCTGATTACTCTAGGCTACCCCAGACCCCCTGGAGTAAAAAAAAAACATACAAAAATAAATAAAAAAGGAATATGTACACACATAAAGAAGTACGGAGTACTACATAATCTTACGATTCCTACTTTTTTCATACTGTAGTAAACTTATCCTAAATTAATAATAATCACTATCCGTAGAATCAAATAAAAAATACAGTATCCGAATACAACAATTCAATTTTTTTTTGAGAAAGTACAACAATTCAAATAAGTGTCAAGTACTCCATCTTATAAGACCGTAAATAAATTAGTCGTATTTTTTTCCTTTTTTGGAAAGGTTTTTTTACACTTTTTAAAAACCAACACTATCCTATTTATTCACTCCATAATACTTCGATCATGGATTCTCGTATCCTTTGTTTTGACCTGTCTGAAACTTTTCGTCTTTTTATTAGGGTTTGACTCTGGGACGCGCGCTTCTTCCCTTGATTGGGTACGTTTTCCTCCCTTCTGCTTCTATCAGCAATGATGATGATCTTTCTCACTCTCCGTGCCACTGATCCTTTTACTCGCAATGCATCAATTCTCATTACGAAATCTTTAAATTAATGAATTCTGTAATGTGATTTCGATCATGCATTGTGCGATTTTTTAACAAGAATTTGATGTAAATTGGGGTTCTTTTTTTATTTAGGTGAGTTTCCTCTAAGGGAATTGGGGTTCTTTCCGATGTAAATTTCTTATTTTTTTAATTTCCTCTGATCTTTTAATGTGCTCATCTTCAATCACTTATTTTTATTACTTGTGTCTTATGGGCTAATTGATGCATACTCGTAAAGGAATGCACACTGATTCTTGGTGTTAATCTTTTTATCGGAAGTTGTGATTCCCAGTATTATTCAAATATGAGTGATTGAGAATTTTGAGCTTAGCCTGATCAACACTGCTTAATTTTTTTAGTTTTAATATAAGAATTCAGGAAAATTCTTGTGTATGTTTTTCTCCTGTACCTACATAAGTCGGTCATCAATGACCATTGTTCAATTGGCTAATGATTTGCAGGATGAATGCATAGACAGTAAAATGGATATAAACAGATACGGTTTTCAACAGCTTTCCAACATTCAAGAAAATCAGGCTATTGGAAACGTTTCAAGTTCGCTTAAAATCTGTAATACTAATTCAAGGTTGCATTTTTGTGATAGCAAGAGTGATTGCAGCAAGGACTGGGAAGTCACCCCCAAAGATGAATTGATTGGCCAAAGGTTTTTAAGTTGTAAAGTTTGAGCTATTTCTGGTTATGATGAAGTTGTTGGAGCATTTTCTTTCAAATCTATAGCTATGAATAAATTATATATTTCTTTTTACCCTTCTGCAGATTGATTTAGTTGTTTCTTTGCAGACTCATGCATGCAGGATCTATGAAAAGGGGCAAACAACTAGTTGACTATGTGCCTGGCATGGGTGGCCAGTTGACTGTAAGTGCTGATTTGGAGGTTTTCTTTTTGTTCTTGTCGCAGATGACCGAATATTTTATTTGGGATAATTTGAGTTTGCACCACTCTTTATTGTGCAAATTGGACTTTGCACCCTGTTTTTAAAAAACTTTGTTTTTGCACCCCAATTTAATATGAAAAGACAAAATTGCCCCTCTATTCACAATTTTGTTGGCCTTCAACATATTCCTTATTGAGGGCATTTTTGTCTTTTCACATGAAGTTGGGGTGCAAAAACAAAGACTTTTAAAAACGGGGTGCAAAGTCCAATTTAGACAATAAAATGGGGTGCAAACTCAAGTCAACAACATCTGATCCCAAAATGCTAATTTCCAACCAATAAGTAGTCAAAGTTCCAATGCCCTTTAACATGCCTCCTTAACTTTACACATTGTTTTTTTTCTTTTTATTTCATTAACCTGGGATGCTATCATGTACTTGCAGAATCAAATGCAGCAAGGCTCTTATTATCGATATCAAAATGTTGATGATTTTAATTTTCATTCAGTTGCCACCTTTTCTCCTTACTGCAAACCAACACTCACGGGCATGTCCGTGAAAGATACATTCAAAGAGAATACCGAGAATTTTAGTTTAGAGTGCTTGGTAGCAGCTGATCCAAACGCTGACTTGCATCAATCATGCATGATTGACAATGTGTATGACATTGAAGGTGAGTTGTGTGTTCTCCCCAATAATAAGAGCTTTCCTCCTATGACATATTGGTAATGGTAATATATCCCACTAGACAATTTACATTTTTATATATTACTTGATTTTTGTGCAGGGTCCTCATTGAATGGCCACAGGAGTGGCTTTACATCTATTAGACGGGATGGAAATACCATGGTTCATGTAAATCACATCCCCAATGAGATTATTCCTTCTCCAGAACCAATCTCATCGGTGACCGCATGCTCTGATGGAGATTGGAATATTGATATGGACGCCTTTGACAGTCAACATACTTTCTCTGAGAAGAACACTCTACGAGATGCTCTTAAATCAGCACCAGGCAACAAACCTCAACATACTGCACAAAACATCTATAGTGTCGACGTTCCGCCATTGATTAGGCGCAATATGGGATTATCTGATTTAAATGTTGTCAATATTCGGGAACAGGATTCAAATCATTTTTCTCCACCATTGGTTATATCTGGTACTGTTGTTGATCAGGCCAGATTGAATAATGAGTATTTGTTTCCTCCACAGCTTCAGATGGGTGGCTTTGTACATTCTGATCGGTATTCTCATTCTATTCTGCTCAACGAGCCATCTGATTTGAGGTCTCAAGGGTTTATAGCAAAAGAAGAAGCATCTCACTGGAATGTATCCAGCCAAAAGTCCTTGAATGCAATCAGCTTAGAGAAACCAGATAGTGCTCCGCAATTGAAGCTATCTGGGGTTGGTTATGCTCCAGATGTGCACCCTAATTTTTTCCTAAGTGGAACTTCACAGACTTCAGATTTTGGCCATTTATCTTCACATCAAGTTCTAGGTTTATATGTCAAGTATAACGCTCTTACAATGAGTTTTGGGAACGAGCAGAGACCTTTTCTGAACTCTCTGCATTCATTAGTTTGCAATGGCACAATATGCAATTGTCACCAGTATCATTTGCTTATATCTCATTTTGAAAGCTGTAGCGATAGTAATTGTAGTGTTTGCAAGCCTGTCAGGTATGATGCAGTTATGCACCCAGTTGGCCCAATCAGCACAGAAACTGTGAAAGCAAAGACTGGTCTCATACGAACCCTCCATGATAGAGATTTTAATGACATGAGTTCTTGCAGGGAAGATACGCCTTACAAACGAACAAGATTGGGAAATGCTTTTATGCCTGAAAATATTGATACAGTTTCACAGTCAGTATATCAATGCTGTGATACTCTATCACATTTGGCCTCTTGTAAATCACATGAAGCTCCTCTTCACGTTAAGGGAGATCTTACAGAGATGAATAAGAGACCTACAAACTCCAAAGAAGATCCCAATGCAGTTGAGGATGATGGTCAGAAATCACTCCCTAGACATGCTTCTTTGTCGCGTGAGGAGGTTTACAATGAGGAAGGTTCAACAGAGATGAATAAAGTACTTGTAAATGTCGTAGGAGATCCAGGTGGGAGTTATGCTACAGATGATGCTCCGAAATCGCACGTTGGCCCTAGTTCTTGCATATCTAGTGACCACAATGGTAATGCAAGTGGAGCTTTGAATGACAATATTTACAACTCTCCAGGAGTGAGTTCTGATGGAATGCATGCTCTCCTGGATGAATCTGCTCATGGTAAAGAAGATCACTCTAAAAGTTCCAGACCAGGAGTCAAACATAATTCAAATGATTCTGCAGTCCGACATTTGTTCAGAATAAAGTCGAACAATCCAAAGAGGCTGGGCGTGTCTTTTGTTGACTTTTTCACTGCTGATCAAATAACAAAGCACATTTGTAGTCTCAGAGTACAGTTTGGGAAGGTTTGATTCGTAGCCTTTTATACTTCAAATCTGTCAGCTGTTGTGAATGTTACTAATTTGTAGCAACAGTATATATTTTAATTGACTGTATTGAAATTTGATGATGGTACTGAATATAAATAGCAGCGGGACATGTTGAATGCTCAATCATTTTTTAATATTTATTTGTTTAAGATAAACTGTCAGCCCATGCAATTTTTTACGCAATTTTCATCATGGGTCATATGGAAACAGTCTCTCTGTGCTTTTGTACATGTGTAAGGCTGCGTACATCCGACCCCCCTTACCTCACCACAGGTGGGAGCCTTTGCTGCATTGGGGTAATGTTGTTGTTGTATTTATTTGTTTCAAGATACTTTGCTGCTGGGTTTGATGTCATCGTCCTTTTTACTGTAGAGTCATGTGAACTCACAATTTCCGCACTTCCTTGGATGCTGTTACAATTTGTGACGTCTCCAAAGAACATACTTTTATTTAAGAAAGACTAATTTGGATGGGTTGTAATCTCTATTCATAGTCGGTGTTTTTTTGTTGTTATATTTGTTTGGAAATTCTCTCATATTTTGATACACAATTACCTACCAAAAAGAGTTCATTGATAGCCAACATTTTGAAATAAAGAGGAAGGAAGAGTTTATTGACAGAAAATATTTTGCAAATTTGTTGAAATAAATTTGAAATAAACAGAAGCAAACGCATATGTGCATATCTTTATGCAAATTTGTTTATTTCATTTGTTTGCGGGTTAATTGCTGTTATGATGCACTGATTCCTTTTTCTCGAAAGTGTTCATGTTTGTATTCTGTACATGACTCCACTGCTTGATCTAAGAACCCAATGAACATAAGGTTTCATTTTTGTTGATGTTCAGGGATCAGTAGTGGATGCTAATGCTCGCTGTACCATTGAGAATACATGCCAGTTGTGTGGCACTGATAAACTTGTATTCATCCCAGTTCCTATATATTGCTCATCGTGTGGTGGCCGTATCAAGCGCAATTTGGTATTCTATTATTGGTTGCTGGAGGAAACAAAAAGTCGATATTGTTTTTGCACTCTATGCTTTAAAGCATCTCGTGGTGGCAACATCTCATTCCTTGGCCTATCTATTCCCAAGTCAAATCTTCAGAAGGGAAAGAACAATGATGAAAATGAAGAATCAGTGAGTATGGTTTAGCTTCGTCATTTTTTTCCAAGGAAATATATGGTCTTGTTTATTGTACATGTTTATTTACAGTGGGTGCAGTGCGACAAGTGCGAATGCTGGCAGCATCAGATATGTGCTCTCTACAATGCTAAAAAGGATTTGGAAGGTAAAGCAAAGTATACATGTCCTTATTGCCGATTAAGGGAGATCGAATCTGGAGTGCATGCACCTTCCCCTCCCATTGGAGCACGGGATCTTCCAAGGACCAAATTGAGTGACCATATTGAAGCCAGACTGTCCAGACTCCTTGAGCAAGACAAAAAAGAGAGGGCAAAGCTATTAGGAAAGAGTCTGGATGAGGTAAGGTGCAGCATAGCAATTATGAATTTATAATACCTCTTTGAAGAAAATGTTTTAAGAGGATGTATATTACTGTAATTGTTAGGGCCTGTTGGAGAATTGAAGTGAGGGAAAAAGGATATGTCACAGTAGTATAGGTGTTAGTGCAGTAACTAACTTATATACAACTATATGCATGTGGTATTGTGGTTTCCTACTGCGCATGTTTTATACCTGGGATCAAATGTTTCTTATGCTTGTTAGCTGCTACGTGGTTGATAGTTTCTTCATCAAACTAAATGGGCTTGAAAGTGGTAATTAGACTCGTGCTTGAAGTGGTATATTTTTTATGTTAGTAATTCATTCTTTTAGCTTACTTGAATCATGCATATATTGTCATGTTGCACTTCAGAATATTGTCCTTCCACTTAGTCTCTACTGATATATTACATACTGCCAGATTCCAGCAGTTTCAGATCTTGCTGTCAGGGTAGTATTATCTGTCAACAAGCAACTCAAAGTCAAGCAGCATTTTTTGGATATATTTCACAACCATGATTACCCTGTAGAGTTTCAATACAGGTCAAAGGTGAGAAGCTTTTTCCCTTTATTCATTGGACTATTAACGTTTTCAGTTGATTAAACTTGACACATTCTCCAAACAGGTGATTCTCTTGTTCCAGAATATTGAAGGAGTAGATGTATGTCTCTTTGCAATGTACGTCCAAGAGTTTGGATCAGAATGTGGTGAGCCAAATAGAAGATGCGTCTATGTTTCATATCTGGACTCGGTCAAGTATTTCAGACCTGAGATACAAACTGCAACAGGGGAAGCTCTTCGAACCTTTGTATATCACGAAATACTGGCAAGTACTTCTGCCCTTTTCAATTAACCTGAATCTTTTGGATACCATGTTGATATTTGTTACTAAAAAACTCAGTTGTTCTTGTTGTGTCATCAGATTGGGTACCTTGAATACTGCAAGAAACGGGGTTTCGCGACCTGTTATATATGGGCTTGCCCGCCTGTGAAAGGGGAAGATTACATATTGTATTGCCACCCAGATTCTCAGAAAACACCTAAGTCAGACAAGCTTCGCCAATGGTATCTTTTTTTTTTTTTTTTCATTTTCATTTTCCATTTTGTTCTCTGACTTCTCTCAGTATGTTCAGTATTTTTTTTCATTTAAGATCAGCCTGAAAACCTTGAAGGAATTTATTCTGGAACTATAAAGATGCTTCCCTGCAAGCTAAATGGAATGTTATATTTTATTGACTTAAAGTTGTGTGTGTAGGTATAGGTCAATGCTGAAGAAAGCATCAAAAGAAAATATTGTGATTAGTTTCACTAATTTCTACGACCACTTCTTTGTTCCAAATGTGGAGTCTAACGCCAAGATTTCAGCTGCTCGTTTACCATACTTTGATGGAGACTATTGGTCAGGTGCTGCAGAGGATACAATAAGGAACATTGATAAAGATGATAAAGGAGGATCTACTAGTAAAGTTAAGAAAACTATGACAAAGAGGGCTTTTAGAGCGATGGGGTATAGTGATCTTTCTGCCGAAGCAGCAAAAGATGTAACTGTTATGCAAAAGGTATATTTATTATATCAAATTTTAGGTTTGCTAATAAATACTTCAATGTAGCCTCTTTGTTGATGTGTGCATGCATGCATGTGTGAATGTGTGCTCCATAACAAAGAATGGTTACTTTAATATTTGTTGCTTAGAGGATTGGGAAATTTTCTGCAAGGCCAATGCCATCAAAATAGTGCTGCATTTCAGAGTATTTGTCACAACTGCTAAGCTTAATTATTCTCCCTTCTTCTGGTGACAGCTGGGGCAAGCCATTCTTCCTGTTAAGGAAGACTTTATTATCGTAAACCTACAATTCAAGTGTACGAAGTGCGAAAAAGTAATATCTGGAGTTAGGTGGCACTGTAACCAATGCAGAAGTTTTGAACTATGCACAAGGTAGTCTCTCCCCTATTACTGTTTACCAAAATAGGATTTTCAATGTGTATGAAACCAAAATATGTTCTGGCTTTTTCAAGGTACATAGTTGCAATTTTATTTTTAATATAGTAGTTGCACATTCTAAATATCTCATACTTTTTTTCCCAAGTAACATATTTAAAGTCACATACAAGCTATCCACGGTAAAGGTGATATCAAGATATGCATAAATGAACAAATAAGTTGGCAGTACTGGGATGAGATGTTTACAATTTCAAACATTTTTAAACCACAGACAATCTCATAAACCATAGATTTTATTGTTTATTATTATTGTTGTTGTTATAATTAATAGTTAGTATTATCATATTATTAATTATACTATTAATAGAACTATTATTGTTATTGTAGATGTATTATTATCACTATATTATTATTATTATTATCATCATCATCATCATCATCATCATCATCATCATCATCATCATCATCATCATCATCATCATCATCATTATTTAGTGGGTAGTTTTTGTATTATGGGAAAATGTTAGCCAAGGGGGTGTTATTGATTTGTGAAGTAGTGAGTGTTATATTCTATATACATGCATATTTGTCTTATTATGCAATGAGAAAATGTTTGGACATTAAAAAGATTCCCGACTATTTTTAATGAACTAAAGATTGACTTTTTATTGGTCTTCATCAAGTTATTACTATTTTTCCTCCAAAACATTGTCAACAACAAACCAATCTTTAATACTGCAGTTGTGTTCTTAAGAATCAAGACATCAATGGGCAGAAGGAACACACTTCCTCTACTGGGGAGAAACATTTTCTTACACAGGTGAGTCTCCTAGAAATATGTTTGATGTCCTCTTAACATGAATGGCTATCATTTAATTTATGTTTTTCATAAAATTATATTACCATGTGTTGAAATATTTTATGTTTCTTAGACCTCTGCGGATGCCATACCTGCTGACACTGAAGATAATGATGCCATTATAGATAATGATTTCTTTGAGCACAGGCACTCTTTCTTGTGCTTCTGTCAAGAAAACCATTATCAGTTTGAATCTCTCCGGCGTGCTAAGCACTCGTCAATGATGATATTGTACCATCTCTACAAAAGTATACATTGTTTATCTAGTGAAGGTTCTGATTCCCATCTTCAACAAGCTGGCTTGCAGGTAGAGATCCATATTCTCGTTCCTTGCATAATTTAGTTAAAAGTTGAACTGCTTAGCGGTCCACAATTATTCCTTTTATTGCTAGTTCTTTGTCAATTAGTTTTGGGAATGAAAGTTTTCTATGTTAATCATTGCCGTTATACATTGTTGTAGCTTTTGAATATATTCCAAAAGAGCAACAGTTAACTTTTCCGACCACACTATGCTGTATAAAAAGACTCAATCTACTAGGCTGTAGTGTAGGGAACATCATTTACTTGTTATTAATAGGGATTTGGCTGGATGTAAGCAAGTGGAATATGGTTTTATAAGGCGCTTGAGAGACAGGCTTTCCATTAGGCTGCGGTGTAGGGAACAACATTTACTTGTAATTGATAGGGTTTGGCTGGATGCAAGGGGAATCATAGTTTATAAGGCGCTTAAGAGGCTTGCCTCATACTGAATGAGAAATTCCTTTTAGGCGCTTAAAAGTGCTTTTTGGTACTATAGACTACTACCTGCGTCCCAAAAAATTCTCCCATTTGCCTTTTTGGAAAGGTTTGTGTGACTATTATTCATTTTCCTTTTTCTTACTCAATCACAACCATACATTTCCACTTTATTCCCGCTTTCTTAAACTCCGATCCAAGTCAAACCGGGAAGAATTTTCCGGGACAAAGGGAGTATAACATAATAAGGACAAGGGTCTATATTTCGTCTGAAAGCCCTAAAATGAAACCCCTTTGCCAAATGTATTACTGTTCTCTCCTTTCGCAACAGCTCCAGCTGTTTATTCCTTTTATTTGAACAATAACAATGCAAATAATATAACTTCTTCATATTTTTCTTTTTATTGAAATTGCAAGCCATCTCTTTTTTGTTCTTCACTTCTCATTCTTGCAACTTTTTCTGATTTGATCAAGTATGATTAATCTTAAAAATGTTTCTTTAAGGAGTCAAACTTGATCTATGACTCATTTTTATGGTTGATAATATATCTAACATTACTGGTAATTTTAAACTGTCAAGGAAGCTTGGCATAAGTTTGAGGCACTGCCTCAAACCTCCTTGAAATATTAGTTTACGCCTCGCCTAGTAAATGCAAAATGTCTTAAGGCTTCAAATGGCCTTTTTAAATGTTGAACAGATTTTGTTGGGGCCTAAGCAGGATAAAACCTAATCATCTGGGAGATCATAGCTCTTAGGTGTGGGAATAAACAGGCCAGGCAGGGTTGTTACAATAATGCCACCATATGGAAAATATTACCTCCTTTAAGGGCCCTTTTTATGGGAAGATTTTGGAGGATAAAGTCTTGTATGTTAACATGTTTTTGATAATTTTATAAAGAATGATGAAACAGAATAATAGATTAATAATAGGTGGATCATATAATAATCCAACACCTTTTGAATTTTCAGACATTCTAGTCGAAAAATACAGATTAAGGAACCCCAGTTTGGACTTTGGGGTGTTGAATGATTTGTCCACACCTGTGAAATAACAAATATATAAGCTTAGACTATTCTTTCAATCCGATTGACCTTTTTGTCTGACCTCTTTCTAAGTGTAATGACTAATTTGACAATTCAGATCCAATTACTGGATTTAGTAGTCCATGCATCACGGTGCCGTGCCACCAAGAGTGACCCGTGTCCATTTCCAGACTGCAATAAAATCAGGCAGATTTTCCATCACGCGCATGGATGTACCATTCGAATATCTGGAGGTTGTAACATTTGTAACAAAATATGGTTGCTTCTACGTATGCATGCACGCAAGTGTGAAGATTCAAGCTGTTTAGTTCCGCGTTGCAGGTACATCTTACATCTTTTTCTATCCTTCATTTAACCTAAACTAAAGAAAATAAATTTTGTTTTCCTTCTGCATTTTTCTTCCTTCTTGTTTGGAATGATATATTAGAAACAAAAATAACTGTAAATAGAAGCAATCAAATTTATTTGGCTAAAGGGTCAAATAGGCCCTTGAACTGACTTAAAGTGTTCAATTAGCCCCTTATATAGGAGGTTTTGCTCGGCGGTCGCCAATTGGGGCGGTTCCCAGTGGAATTTTTTTATGAATTTTTTTGAGCATCTTCTTCATTAAGTGTAGTTTACCCATACCAAATTACACCTAAAAGTTCAACCGGGAAGACAGTCAAATGATTTTCCGAAATGTAATACATTGTTTAACTTCGTAGTTATCTTCAAAAAATCATTTGACTGCCTTCTCGGTTGAATTTTTAGCTGAAATTTGGTATGAGTAAATTAGACTTAATGAAAAAGATGTTCAAAAAAATTCATCAAAAAATTCCACCGGGAACCGCCCCAATTGGCAACCGCCGGGCAGAACTTCCTATATAAGGGGCTAATTGAACACTTTAAGTCAGTTCAAGGGCCTATTTGACCCTTTAGCTAATTTATTTTCCCTCAAATACACTTTATTTTCCTTATTTTCCACAATCTGAAAAGGTAAAACAGGTATAATTCCAATATTCTACTCTTATTTTCATTTTTCGTTTTTCTTTTCATTCAAACTTGATGTTAAATTTGAAAGCATCCCCAAAGAACCCTGGAAATCACTTCTTTCAAGACTTGGTTTGTAATTTTGAGAATATGTAGAATTAGGAACCAGCCCCAAATGGTAACTTAAATGTTGAAGGAATTCAAAACCTTTTCCGGGATGTGTGCAGGGATCTTAAGAGGCATGCAGAAAAGAATGCATTGCAATCCAATGTTCGTCAAAGGCAAACGGTGGAAGGGAGAGAGTCAGCCTGCTAAAGAAGTTTTGATGACTCTTCCCAAGTGTAGTGTGTATATCAAAAAATTGTTAGATCTTCTTCAACAAATGTACAGTGGAACAGTGTCCTCAGCAAGCAATCGGTTGGAGCTGACATGCAAAAAAGTTTTGTGGATGTTTTTCTTGGGGTATATAAAACAATGGAAAACAACGTCATTGGCTTCAGCTTGGCTGAAGATTATGATAGTTTAGGAAGTTAGGTCTTGGGTGGCCGACATAATTTAGTTAGAGGATATTATTGTCATTTAGATAGATTAAATATATCAAGTTTTTTATTTATTATAGCTGTCAAAATACTTGGATATCTCACTTGTGTATATTTAGTTTGATGAAATCTTAACTTGTAGGATTTTATTCGGAATAAATGGTTATACTCATATTTGAATGAGTCATAAGTTATAACTCCAACTAAAATCAATGGAATCAGAACTAATTATTTCCTTAACCTGGTGTCCTGGTTCAATGCATGATAAATTCTCATAACGATAAATATCACGTTATATAGTTCAATACAGGCTCCGTTTGATAGTAGGGCTTGGGTTTCTTATTTGTTTCTTATTTTGTGAATTAGTACAATGACAAGATAAAAAATCAGCAGATACAACTTCAGTGAAATAACACTTGCCAAACAGGCTCTTACATTTCAATGGCGGCAACTATTCCCAAATGTGAAAAGAATCAAAGGCTCAGTCTCACAATGACTGCCCGTAAACTAGAGAATTATCAACAGCAATTCATGCATGCTAAATGCTTCAAATGTAGAAATCCCTAACAATCACCTAATTATAAGCAACACAAACAAACAATGGGGCACAATTACATCAAGGCACCTTAATCAATTGTGATTAACTACAACAAAATACACACTACTACCACCATATCAAAGACCTCCCAAGGCCAAAAGGATATAGCAACCAACTCTCCCCTTTGGTACATAATGAATCCGACACATCGTAAATGCAACAAATGTCAAAGGTGAATACATCAGCTTCTTGTTATCATGTGGTGATGAAAGTCCAGATCTTCTTCCCTATAGACACTTCACCAGGATGATCCTCAGCCTCTTGGTCCTCATCCCCCTCATTGCCGTCATCTCTTCTCCGATCTTCATCAGTTTTGTACCCCCACTGGTCATCATCATCATACTCCTTAGGAACTTCGGGTGATTCGTTCACCTCTTCAGTGAAACTGGTATCGACCAGAGTATTTGCCATCTCAGCATTGCTTCCATGATTATCTGCTTTATCCTTGCGCTGAATAGTAAAGTATCCTTTTATTATTAATTTACTCAATTTAGGCACACACTTTTACCTATGTTGTAAGAACCGGACCGGGAAGCAAACCGGATTAAATGACCGGGTCACGGGTCAACCCGGTCTATGACGGAAAAACCCAGTCAACTTTATACATAATTTTATAATAATAAACATATATTAATACTTATAAAAACTTTAAAATAATTTCTTTCAGTGTAATCAAATAATTATTATTACACTTAGTAAGCAGTTTTATTATATGCTAAAAGAACCGAAGAAAATATACGGAGAATTTTTTTGTTTAAGAAAGAACCATTAAAAAAACTAAAAGCAAAGATATGACTACGTTTAAGGAGCACCCATTAACAAAAGAATTTAGTAGTACGCTGGATTGCCAAGTTCCTTTCTCCGTCACAGACGCGAGTTTGAATCCCAGCCTATACATTTTTTAAAAAGCTCAGTTATCCGGAATCTTGCGGTTTCTCCGGGTTCAAGGCAGTTCCAGGTTATGCCGGGCCAAAACGGGCCGCCGGGTTATTCTGGTTTTCATTTCATTTATGGGTTACAAGGTGACCGGACCCGGTTTGGTGGCGGGCCGACCCAACCGGTTCGGTTTCTTAAACATAGGCTTTTGCATGCTACAAATTATGAGTGCTCATATATTGGAGTAAGAATGCTTTCCACTTGATCCAAGAATGTTTATTTAAAAACTAAAGTTTGACTTTTGAAACCACTTCTTCGGCACAGAAATAAGTCCTTGAAAGATGGTGTTTACAAAAAAAATCTATTTTTTTGGAAGGGTGGAGGGGGGGACCTTAATCCGTGTCTCCTCTAGCGCAGCAGTATGATGAACGGCCTCAACACTTTGTAATTGCCCATCATTAATCTCTACATGAGCTGGTCGTGCAGACTTGGATTCCCATGCCTCTTCATCTTCTACTGAAGCATTAACAGATGAAGACCTGTTTGTTTTCGCTCCAGCAGCACTGAAAATTAAAGTAGAAGGACCTGCCGATTAATGCTCTGTTGTGGGGGTGAAAAAGAGAAGAGTAACAATTTTCACCGCATTAATCACTGAAAATAAGTTTTTTTTCCATCCATATAAAGTTGAATTAATCTTTTTATCTTTCCAATAGAAAGTTTAAACTGGGTGAATGCGTAAAGCACTGTTTACATAAGTTGATAGATTTGGGCCATACATTACATAATAATTACATAATGTGGAACCGCACAGCCACAATGAGATTTATCCTTGGTATAGTCATTGTTTTCAAATTGATTTGCATGCCCCTTGGTGTCTGTTTGGATATGGGCATATAGGGTAGCTTTGGAGTGCTTGGTCTATATCTGTATAAATTGAATTGAATTTCTTAAAAAAGAGAAATATAATTTAATGCAATCCCGTAAAAATTTTAATCTTTTAATTTTTGTTAAATAAAAAATACATATCAAGATTTCCTAACATTGAATTTCCTAAAAAAGAATGAAAAATGATAAAATGCAATCACATAAAAATATAATCTTTCAATATTTGCTAAGTCTCAAATATATACCATCCAAGGGTCAAAGATTTTCCTCCAAACCTTCCATCCAAACAGACCATTAGTGTCATTTGTCATTAGCAGGCTGATACTTAAGCAAGGCAATTGAGAGTGATGGAGAAGCAAATATTACCTTTTTGGTCGACGAAGATTGTATCTGCTTTGACCAGGAGTCTGCACAGGAGGTACGACCTTTTGCCTCCTCTTCCTATGACTACCGCCTGTTACACTATCTGAGTTTCCTTCACTAACATCATCTCCTTGCTCACTTGCTGTTCCATGTGATATGTGAACACGACCACGTTTTCTGGCATTCCTAGCAGTTCCTATGCCTACAAGGTCGGATTCTCTCTCACTTTCCTCATAGGTATTAATAGAGATCCCTACACTCCCACTTGCCTTACCAGAGCCAGTTATTCTACCCCTGTTTCCCCCTCTTGTCACAGCTCTATGCTTTTTCCCAGTTTTCACGTTAGAATTTCCAGACTCTTCCACAGTATCTTCAATAACATCATCACTCCTCAAAGGAGGCATATTTGGTTGTCTTTCGTCGATAGGCTTAGCTGGCGGGGATAAATCATGCATCATATCTTTAAGTTCACGAGATTCAATTTTCTTACCTGGAGAAAATGCAAGAATCTTTGACGTGCATTTTCGAAGCCATGAGAAGGTCCCACCTGAGACTGAAGCTCCAATGCCAGGGGATGACAATTCATTACCAGGCCTTCTAGGAGTCATCTCTTGGTTAACCTCCCTAAGATAATCTTGGGCAATACTAGGCAGAGGAGGGGATTCGAAATTTTCTACTTTGGCCAATGACTGGAGACGAGAAAGCTCAAACTCACGGATACACTCTGCGCAGGAGGGGCACTTTTCCTGCTTTTTGACAAATTCCATGAACTGATCTCTTTCCTTGAGGAATTCTGTCCTCTGTGTCTTTAATTTATGACTTAAGGCAACTAATTCTTCAATGTCGCTTCGCATCTCTAACTGTTGTACTTCAAGATGTTTCTTGTTGGCAGATGTTTCCTGTTTCTCTTTCTCTATTCTGGATCTCTCCAATTTCAGCTCTTCCTGATCTCTTCTAGCCACTTCCGTTAGAAACTTAATATTATTGAGTTCTCTCTCTCTCTTCTCCTCGAATTCTTTCTCTTTTTCAAGCAATCCAGACTCCATCTCTTCCTGCTTCTTCTGCATATCAGCCTCGAGCTTGGTTGTACGCTGTTCGAAATCATGAAGCAGTTGGCTTCTCTCGTTTCGCAGTTTTTCTTCTAAAATCGCTCTTTCATGCTCCATAGTAGCTGAAAATGATTCTCTGGCTACTTTAAGTGCTTCCAACTCGCTGTTAACATGGTTTTCGGTTTCAATTCTCTCCTTGATCAACTTTTCCTCTTCAGAGTGTTTTAGCTTTTCAAAGTTCCTTTTTCGTTCATCTATGTCCTCCAATTGTTTATTAATATCATTTCGTTTCTCCTCCAACTCATCCCATTCTTTTTCAAACTTCTCTCTTTCCCGCTTCAAATCCTCTGTTTCCTTCAAAAGCATTTCTTGTTGGAGTCTGCATTTGTCTGTCTCTTCCTTCAACTCTGATTGCAGGTGAGTAAGTTCCAATCTGTCAGCTTCTGTTACTTTAAGCTTCTCCATGTCTTCATTTACCTTTAGCTGGTTCTTTTCAATGTCCGTCCTTATTCTTTCAAGTTCGTCCCTAAGAGCAATTAATTCATTCTTGTCTAAGAGAATTTGCTTCCTTTCCTTCTCCAAGTTTTTCTCCTCAGCTTTTACAAACTTTTCCCTTTCCTTCATAGCTTTAACTTTTGTTTCAAAATCCTTTTCTTTCTCTTTCACTTTCTCTGATTTCTTTTCAACTGCCACTTCTCGTTTCTTGACTTTTTCTTCCATGTGAAAAACATCGGCTTCTTTCTTTTCAAGTTCGAGCACTTTGCTTTTCAGTTCTTCATCGATGGATTCCCTTCTCTGGTTCATTTCCAGGATAAACTTTTCTTCCTTGGCAGCCAGGATCGCCTTGTGTTCATCTACAAGCTTTTGGATATCCTCCTGCACAACGAAGTAGTCAGAATTTAAATATTAAAGCATTATTACTATCATTGTATGGACTCGACCTCTTCAAGGCAATTTGACACAACTTTACTTTTTTTTGCACCAACACAAAACAAGATGAGGACGGCACTCAGGAGGGTGAAGACTGACGACCAATGTAAACAGCACAAAATAAAAATAATAATAAATAAATTGAAATTAAATTAGAAGATTTAACATTTAAATTGAAAATTTGATAAAACATCAAAATCATGATTGCCGAAGAATAGAGATCAGGAGTACAATCCTTCATAATGCTACTGCAACTTGACCAATACTATAAAAAAGAATATGAATGGATAGGGCAATCACTTTCTCTTTAACATTCAGTTTTTCCTCCAGTTCATGCAATGCTTTCTCTTTTAGATCTAAGATTTTTTTCACATCATCGATTTCCTGCATCAAGATAGAAAAAGAAAAGAGGAAAAAATGAGACTTAAACAAAAGCTAATAAAGAATTCACCAATAGATATAAATAAAATTAAAACATGCCTTCTCCTTCATAGTAAGACTTGCAAGCCGGCTGCTAAAGTCTTCTTCTTTCTCTTTCAGAATAGCGTATGATGCATCGATGTTTTTCTGAGAACTTTCAAGTTCAGTCTGCTTTTGCATCATAATCTTGTCAGCGTCATTTGCTCTCTGCTCTCTTTGGTTTAACAACCTCCGGCTCTCAGCAAGCCTCTCTTCACCCTCTTGTAGTTTTCTTTCCCACTCTCTCACGTCTTCCCTTTGCTTAGACAAAGTTCTCTCGTGAGATTCACGCCTGGCCATAACATTGAAATGAGCGTAAAAATGTTTCAAATGGAGGCTTTCACATTCGCAGTATAAGGGTCCATATGAACCCAGAAAATGCTAGGAAAACAATTAGGTAGGTGAATAGTTGTGGAATTAAAAGGCAATAAATTTTGGAAAAAATAAAAGAAATGGTTCAATCTCAATACATCAATTTAGCTATTACTTCAAACTCGTTTGTTTATTTACCTTTGATATATAAACTAGAACTATAAAACATGTGTTAATTTTTAAAAAGTTTAACCCGGTTAGATTTTTGTTCGCATTTTCACCATAAAACCAAAGATAAAAAGTTGTTTTCCTCAGCACCCTTTCTTGTTCCCCTACCATCGACTGCATTCCGAACATAGCCTAAAAGCTTACTCGGTGTTGAAAGAGGAGCGTTCTCTTCGGAGTGCATTTTCTTGAGCCTTTAACTCATTCAATTTCCTTTCAACTTCTGAACTCTTTCTACTAGCTTCAGCAAGCTTAGCATCAGCTGTGTGGAGTTTGGATTCCACCTCTAGAGATTTCTCTTCCACACTTGCCACAAGAGCATTTGCCTCGGCCAGTTTTGAATCAGCTGTGAACTTAATTTCAGCATATTCTGAGCGCATCTCATGCAAATCCTTCTCTAACTGCATAAAGTAACAAAATCAAAAGTTCTTTGAAAGTGGAAACATACAATACAACAGCTATATGCTAATAAACAAAATAAATAACAAGCCATACGTCAATTACACACTGTTTCTCAACACCCAATGCCTTCCTTAAACTGTCTTCACGCTTCTCTGCTTCAGATATTGCAATAGTGTTAGCTTCTTGTTCTCTTTTGTGGAGATCATTCGCTTCCTCTAAAGATTGTTTGGCCTCTTCGTACTTGGTGGTCCACTCCTTCTTTTCGATCAATAGCAGCCCCATATTATATTGGTACTCGAAGAGCTACAAAGTTTAAACAACGGTCAAATAAATCAACCACGGAATTCCAAAATCTATAAGCAAGTTACATCTGCCATATGGATTAGAGCTGGATAACCAAGACAAGTATGTCCATTAGTTTAGTGTATCCAATATCAATACATAATAGCAAAACCCAAACCAAAACAAGTTTGGCTTTAATTCCACAATCACCTCTCCAACCCGTTTTAAACCAATCCTGCCCAAAACTGATAAAAAATCAAAGTGAACCCAAAATGGAAGCCCCTGCTTCCACCTAACTTCTACAATTCTTGAAATCACTCTTTCGCGCGTCACTCTTCTTAAAAACTAAAGGCACCTTAGCACTCCGTTAAACTACTCTAGATTTTTTAAGAATGGACGATCTAATCTCTAGTAAACCAAGTTCAGAGGAAGACCATGAAATGCTTAAAGAGCCAGCAGAAATGAAAGTAAAAAAAAAGGAATGCAAATGCGTTATACTAACTCATATAATGAATTTTTCAGCACCCAGGAGAAAACGAATTAATTAACAATACAATGTGCACAAATCTGCTACAGACGTGGGGTGGGAATAGTTTATTAACCTCGTTTTCAAGCCTTGCCACCTTCTCATGAAGGTCGACGGATCCATTTTCTTCTCCATTCAGACCTCTGGCAGACTTGTCAAAAAAGGTGAGGCCTTTTCCCTTGTCGTTGATCTTCATAGGCGGCTCACTCTTCGGCGAGAGCGACCACCCGGTCCACAATTTCCTTGTCGGCGTAGACATCAGATGAATTCCCCTTTCAAGAACTTAAAGAGCACACAGATCGCGGCCTCAACTTGGTAAGAGACAAACTTTTACTGCAACAACATGAGATTGCATTACCCCAAACCCAAATTCTGAGGGAAAGGAATTTGGGAAATCGTCACCGGACGTGAAGAGAGTTCCCAAATTCCGGCGAATGGAGCTGTAAAATCCGGTAACTTTCTCTCACTAGTTTTTCTCTCTTCCCAAACTTCACACCCTTCTCTCTCCTCTAACTTTACAGAGCACGTTTCGTGGTCTGCGCGGATTCCTCACATTCTTTCCTTTTTCTTTTTAAATTACTACTACCATGGAGTATTATTTATTAAATTACCTTTTTGGGGAGTTTTTTATAACGTGTACTTATGGTAAAACTCTAGAACCTCAGAAAATAATAGAAAAAAGTACATAAATATAATCTATGTTTTTAAAAGAAAAATATGATTAGTTTTTTTTAAATGTCATGTGAAGAGCGAAATGCAATGATACATTAACTATTTATAAGTTAACTCTTAAATTAATCAAATATCATAATTATGCATGCATGTTTCAACATGCAATATATTCAAATTTGAGGCAATCTTTTTTTACACGGCGATGAAAATTTCACGTGTACGACCACCCTAAAGTAACGACATGAACAAAAGTAAAGTGAAGTAGACTTTACACATAGAATTCAAGTCGTCACAAATGATGTTTTAGCTAGGAAATTAAATAATATTGTGATTTTGAAAAATTTATGCATAGTTATGGAACTATTTATGCATCTCACCCTTGATGTGTAAATCATTTTAATTCTCTCTAATTCTAAGGGAGTGTTTGCAATTGCTTTAAAAAGCGTTTCTCGTCTTTTGGCTCAAAAAACGCTAAAATTAATGTTTTCAAGTAACAACTTTTACTTAAAAAAAGTGTTTCTCGGCTTTTGTGCAAAAAGTGTCTTTTACTTTTTCTATTACACAAAACATACTTAATTACCAAGCACTACCAACTTTTAATTTTCAAAACCATTTTTTTCTCAAACACTATCAACTTTTACTATTAATTATTTTTTCCAAAATCACTTCCAAAAGTGCTTTTTAAGCAAAAGCGATTGCAAACACTCCTTAATCGGTTAATCCTATCAACTAAAGGTGATAGTTACCAAAGTGCCGCCCTTGAAATTTCCTTTCTTCATTTTCCATAAATTTATAAACAATATTTTTAGCAATCATAATGACTTATTCCACGACAATAATATTCCATATATGGATTTTTTTAAATAATATTTTTAGCAATCACAATGACATGTTCCACATATATGAGCGAAAAGTAAATTCTGAAATTGCGACCATTCGGCTGTTGTTCCGTTCATTAATTTACAATTGGGCTTGGGGTACACAAAACTCATACACACACCTACACACTATAAATAGGCCCCAAAATTACCATTTTTTTACCCCCTTCCTCCCTCACGTGAAATTGCAACCCCAGCCTCTCTCCTCACTCCCCCTTCATCGTTTCTTTCTTCTTCCCGCAGCACATCGACGCCAGCACCTCCTGACCTCCTCTCCTCAAAATCAATAGATTTTGGTGGCTTTGTGAAGGAAAAGGCTGAATTGGAGCAAAAGGCTGATGCTTCTCGAGCTGAAGGAGAAATTCCGTGGACTGAAGATGACGGAGAAGCGGCGGCGGCCGCCTTGGACGACATCCTTGAGCTTCGTATGATCGTTTATGTATTTGATTTCATTAGCTTAGCTTTGAACGTAAATAAATGTTTGTTCTTCACAGACAATTCTCTGTATTTGTAGTGTTTGTGTGCAGTGTATACTATTGTCTATGTGTTTGTGATGTGTATATAGTCGTGTCTGTGTTTAAAATGTTTTAAATTTACTCATGTCTTTGTGTAAATAAACTTCTATTTGAAATGTCTGTGTAAATATAGTTCTGTGTCTGTGTATATATACTTCTGTCTGTGCATAATTGTACCAGTGCCTATGTATGCACATTTAGCCTGCATGTGTGTATATATACTTCTGAAATGTGCATATTTGGTGTGTGGGTTTTGACTCTTACCAGCTCTTAGCAACTCTTTATATAAATTATATATATAATACGTTATCAACTTGCATTTATATAAATATTGATAGTCCTGGTCATCAAGGGGCACTCTTAGCAGCTCTTATTCTGGATGTCCAATATGCAAAAATCATTTTCAGATTACATTCTTATAGTACTGAAAACCATGGGGACATTGCAAATACCTGAAAATGTTTTAACATCATTTGAGTAGTGAAACAGCTAGCTAGTTTAGCTAATGTGAAACAATATAAACCCCAATCATGCTGTAAAAATCATAAATGTCTGCTAGTAATTCATCACAAGAGATGAGTTCTTTGAACATAGTAGGTGGCATTCAATGTATGGTTTGATAGATTAATTAGTCGAATCATATCAATCGGTTTATTTAATTCCCTTCAACATCTGTTTCATATTTGTAGACTTTGATTTAATACTTATAGTTGATTATTCGTGGTTATGTTAAATAATAACAAAATAAACCCTAAAACCCTTCTCGATCAATGAGAAGAATAACACTCAATGGGAATCTCGTTTAATTCCCATGTCGTACTTAACTAACTGGGCAATGGATTATTACATATACTAGTAGTTTTTAAACAACTAGTTATTTAAATAAACAAGTCAAGTTTTTAAAATTAAACTAATAATCTGTAATAAATATAATAAATGTAATCAAAGTCAAGTTTACACATGGGCTCCAGTGGTAATCAAAGTAATAAATGTTTTAGTTATTAAATTACATAAAGTAGTTATTAAAAATATCTTAAGTGGATGTAAGAGCGCATACATAGCACAGACAACAACGACACAAAGCACATACAAAGTCGTATTACAGCATAGACAAGATTTTTCTTCTTCACAGGCAAAGACATCCTCCATATATATTAACACCATTAAAAGTATGTGTTTGCCACAAAAACGAAAAGGCATACCAAATTATTGAATATTTGGGAGTACATTCTAGGACATTGTACAACATTGTTAGTGTAACATTGTACAACCTCCTACATTTAACAACCAAACACATCCAACACTAAACATGGAGTCCCAAAGTAGTCTAAGTGGATCGCTTCCTCAAAGTTCAGTGCCTCATTGCGAATTCACATCTTTTCACTGCCCTGTTCTCATATGCACACTCGGGCTGCAATGGCAAGTTCTGCATCACGCCGCAAACACCGGATCTGGACATAAAAGATTGCATAAAGACATTAATCCCCGGTTGGAGAAGTGAACCACAATTGTACAATACATTGGAAAATTCATTACTTCTCCAAAGTCCTACACATTTTTTCAATTGGACATGTTTTAGTAGAGTCACACAGACAAGCATATTACTCACACAGACATATGTAGACTCATACAGACAATCATTTAAGTCTTCACAGGCAAATGGAGCCACAACCAATTACATATAAGTTCACACAGACAAGGAACTACACATATGTATCTTCACACAGACAATACACATGTCCTTCAACAGGCATCAAATTAACCTTACACAGACAATACATAGAAAGTAATGACATATCCCCAAAATGAACTTGAGTTACTACCTAATAGATTGGGAGATGGAGTCCAATTTCTTAATGCAGTTTAACCTAAGTTTTTTTGACCCACTTGAATTCTGTTAATAGCATAGAGGGTCTATTAGTGTTGTGCCAAGCGGTGTTTAAACAATATATCATAGACCATACTGTGTAAGATTTTAATGACCGAGTAAAAGGTTGCTTAACATTTTTAGTAAAACTACAAAATAAATAATCCACATAATTTTAAGGTACCCGAGGTCCAAATTAATCAAGCTATTTTAAGGAGTTTGATCCTCGACATTCCACAATTCTAAAATAAATTGGAAAAATCATTACTTTTCCAAAAGACCTAGAAATTTTTCATTTGGACCTGTTTTAGTAGTCACACAGACAATCATATAACACACACAGACATATGTGGAGTCGTACAGACAATCATATAACTCTTCACAGACAATGGAGGCACATCCTTTTACATATAACTTCACACAGACAAATAACTACACAAAATCTTCACACAGACAACATATATGTCCTTCAACAGGCATAAAATCAACCTTACACAGACAATGCATATCCCCACATGACATATCCCCACACAAAGCACAAATAAATTGATATTTGTGTATTGTTCAAAATCCAAGAACTAGATGGGGTTCCAAAACATGCTAAACAAAACAATCTTGCTTCACCCTCCAAATAAACGTCATCAACTATATCTACACTAAAAATTTCAAGAATAGAGGACCATACCTTTCGGCCATTGAAGAAAGTGGGGTTCGCACCATTCTTTGTCAATTAAGCAGTGTTGGTTGCACGGGACAACTGGCTGGGGAAGAACGCTCGTTTCACCGCCTGTTGCACCGCCTATTCTTCGACCGCTTCGTTCAGAGACGTACACCGCCGGGTGGAGGGACGAACACCGCCGGGTGGAGGGACGAACGCCGCCGGGTGGGGGGACGAACCCCGCCGGGTTGGTGAGGGCTTGGCAGAGGCTCGCCGGTTGCAGGGATGAAGAGAAGGGAGCGGAATCGTCAATGGCGGGAGGAAGGGCTGCGCACAAGGGGGAGGTTTTTTTTTTTTAAATTGGATTTGGGGTTTTTTTAGCTACGTATGTGTGATTGGGAAGAGGAAGGGGGTAAATTTTTTAGGGAGTATTTATAGTGTGTATGTGTGTATAAAATGTGTGTAACAATAGACTTTTTGATTAATTTATCCTTTTCTTCTTATTTTTCATTCACACAATTACAACTATTCAGTTTTTGCACCACCAACAAGTCTGACAAGAATTTTGTTTTTCTTGACTTGACTGTCTTACCCTCGCTGTAACCGCGATTTCTTCCCGTTGAGCAGGGTAGTTCGGGGGTTTCGTAAGGGCGCTGTCAACACCACGTGCGTGTTTCGGACAAAAGTACCCCCAGAAGGTCGTTACAATGCGGTTTTAGGAGGGTGAGCGTAATTTATGAAAAATGTGGGGGCTTGATGGGAACAATGGTTCTGTGAAATGCCAAGGTGTTGATAGGCTGTACTTGAGGAGCATGTGGGGTACCATGCAACTCATCGCTCAGAGTTAAATTCAATTTATAATTTTGATTGATGATGAAGCTTTGGCTTTGGTTTTTCTTTCCAACCGTTCTTTCATGTCCAAGTTATCTCTACTCAACTTTTGCTTCATCAATTCTTTGGAGTATCTCTGGATCTGGTTTAGTAACACTAAAATCGGTTGAATCGGTTGATTCTGCTCAAATTTATAAAATTTTGGGCAGAAGTGTTATATTGACCGATTATGCTGATTTATGATAAAAGAATATTTAAAATATATTTCATTAATAAAATAAATAAAAAGTAATATGAAAATAGCTAAAATGGTCATGTATAGTAACTTAAGTCAATACAGTCAGAAAAGTAACTTCAACCTTTTTTTATTATTACACGCGCACGAAATTAAAAATTACGTGTTTGGTTAAAAGTTGACTCATAAGATTGAAGCCGAAAAACAGAATCACCAAATGGGCTCTTAACGCATTGATATCTATGGTACACATGTCTTAAAACTTTGCATATTTTGTTTGCAGAAAAAAAAACTGTACATATTTCCTTTTTAGATGTACCAAAATTTTATTACTTTCTCTTTTAATCGAATTTTTAATATTTCTCTCATATCCGCATGAATCTAAATCATACAACTTTAATTTTTTTTTTGGGAAAATCACATATATGGTCCCTCGATTATCCACGAAATTAAAATCTCAGGCCTATATTTCTGAGGTTATAAATGTCACCCTCAATTGACCAAATTGCTGTAAATGTGGTCATTTAAGTAGTGAAATGTACTCTCGCCCATATTGTATATTTAACCCTTCAAAAGGACCAAATTTACAACATTTTGGACAATTAGGGGTGACATTTACAATCTCAAAAATACAGGTCTAAAATTTTAATTTCATGGATAGCTGATGGGCCATATATGCAATTTTCCTTTTATTATTTCTTGTGCCGAATAAATTGACATAATTTTACGCGACAAAAGAAAATTTTACTTTCTTCTAAATGAGTTGTTGGTGTATACAAATGAAATGAGGGGCATTTGGCCACTTAGAAAAACACGTACCAAGTGACAAGTACAAAAGGAAATTTTCTTACTACTATCATTTATAAGGAGATATCTATATATCTACTATCCATATCATCTATTATACGAATAATATCATCTATTATTATTATTATTATTATTATTATTATTATTATTATTATTATTATTATTATTATTATTATTATTATTATTATTATTATTATTATTATTATTATTATTATTATTATTATTATTATTATTATTATTATTATTATTATTATTATTATTATTATTATTATTATTATTATTATTATTATTATTATTATTATTATTATTATTATTATTATTATTATTATTATTATTATTATTATTATTATTATTATTATTATTATTATTATTATTATTATTATTATTATTATTATTATTATTATTATTATTATTATTATTATTATTATTATTATTATTATTATTATTATTATTATTATTATTATTATTATTATTATTATTATTATTATTATTATTATTATTATTATTATTATTATTATTATTATTATTATTATTATTATTATTATTATTATTATTATTATTATTATTATTATTATTATTATTATTATTATTATTATTATTATTATTATTATTATTATTATTATTATTATTATTATTATTATTATTATTATTATTATTATTATTATTATTATTATTATTATTATTATTATTATTATTATTATTATTATTATTATTATTATTATTATTATTATCATCATCATCATCTAAA